ACAACTAGCCACTCGTACAACTTTAGTCATTGTCTAATTTAAGTAGTCCGCCTGAAGGTTCTATACTAGCTGCCATATCTGGAACCTGCTTGTAGGTTCCCTATTTAACCACTCTGTTTCCATATCCACCCATCTACCTATACCTACTAAGATGCCTCAGTCGATACCATTCAAATATGCCATAGTCACTAAGTCTTTAAAGCAGTTCACTCACATGAGGAACCTTTGACCTTGTACTAAATCTTCCAGAATCTTCTGTATCTCATTCTTACAACTGACTTGGTATTGCTATAGCCAAGACTAATACTTGCAGTCAGAATGTACCATTAAACCACTATGCCTTTATAAAGTTTACCTCAATCCTGGTACTGACTTCACAACATATCTTTACTACTTTGGTATTCAATTCAAGTTCTACCAAGCTGCCATTCCAGATAGTCTAGAAAGGTAGATCGAAACTATATACCTCTGGTTCACATGTTTGCCAGCATGTGCTCTTTTTCTCCAGAACCTGGAAATTCTGGCAGCCTGGTTGGTTCATCTGGTTCCTCCTCAAAAACCAACACATTTGCCCAGTTTCACAAGTTCTAGCTTTGTTTTATAAGTCTAATCTTTACAGTAGCACTATCAAAGGTTCAGGTTACCTCTCTACTCAGGTTTTCTAAGTGGGCTTCTATCTTCCTATCTGGTTCCCTTGATTTATATAGCTTAAGAACTTATCTTGGGTTTACACCACCCAGTACTGGTTTGTTTTTCTTCGTACAATGTTGTACGAATGCCTAGACCTTCCAGTCATACTAGTATGACATGGATTACAGGTATCTTATTTCAACCAATTATGGAAGACAGTTAGCCATAACACAAAAAGAATTGCAAATTTTCACTGTCACTGGGATTTGAACTCTAGACCTGCCACTTGGAGGGTGACAACTTTATATTTAAAATTAATTTAAACTATTTTAAATATTTATGCATATTTGTGCATATTTTTGAATATTATTATAATTTGTTAATATTATATTTTATAACTTTCAAGTTTAACAAAATAAATAACAAAATATTTTAGTTATTTGTATTTTATTTATTGGTTTTTTAAATATACCAAAATTATTTTTATTAATTATTAATATTAATTTAATATTTTTTCTATTTTATCTTACTAAATATATCTATAATACCCAGACTAGCTGCAGTAAATGAAAAAATATTTTGCAAAAATCCGAAATAGTTTGTATTATTTTAAAAACTTTATATATTTTTAATATTAATTAAATTAACAAATTTTATTAGGCAAATAAAAAACTAAGAGAAGGTATAACTATTAAATTATAACCTATATATAGTTATAATCTGCAGTATTTTAAGAATATTTTATAATTTTTTTAATTTTTAAATAATTTTACATATTTTGTTATATTCGAATATTTCGCAATTTTTTGTTTATTTCTAAAATTATTCACTGATAATTTTAATAATTAATTTAAATTTATCTAATGAAAATCAAGATACTAAGAAAAAATTGTAAAACTTTTTTTTATTTTTTTTAAATGATCTTTCTTTTTTTTTAGCTAAATTTAAGAGAATCGTATACAGGAATTTAACATTTAAATGAAAATTTTTTGTTTTTTTGTTTTATTTACTAATACATTTTTTTAAGTTTTACAGATTATTTGAAACATTTTGAATATCTTTGAAATTTTTTTATCATTTTATAAATTTTTGTATAGATATTTCTTTTTTTTTTATTTTTACTTATTTTTTATTTGTATTTGATATATAAATCAATTAAATAAAGTTGATACAGATTAAAAATAATTAAATTTGCTTAGTTAATAATCAAATAAACAATTATATTAAATATATTAATATATGTAAAAGCAATATTTCAAATAAAATAAAATAAATTTATTAATAAAATTATTTTATAACTTTCGAAATATTTTTTAAATATTTCAAAATTATTTTGAAATAATTTTTGAAATATTTTGAAAATCTTTTGATCTTTTAAAATATTTCGAAATATTTTTGATATATTCGAAATATTTCAAATTATTTTTCTAAATATAATTTCATTTTTAGTTTTTATTAATTTTTAAATTTTTTGTAAAATAGCCAAAAAATCTTTTGAAATTATTTTGTTTCTTTCGCAATATTGTGAAATTATTTTATTTCAAAATAATTTCATATTAATCACAGTTATTTCAAAAGATTTTTGATATGCAATATCTTTCACAATATTTCACATATTTATTCTGCTAATAAAGTAAGATATTAGTAATTTTATATATGTGTATTAAATGATAAATTAACAACAATAAAAATGTGAAATAGGAAACAGTTAAAGAAATCCAGATTGGATTTATAAAAGACCAATATAATGTGCGAAATATAACATACTAAGCTATATTTGATAAAATCGAAAGTAAGGATATAAAGAAAATTTGGAAAGTTATAGAAATATGCAATAAAAAAAACATTACATTCACTTTGTAGCAGTTGTTAATCCAATTTCCTATTTATGCTTATGTTTAATAAGTATTAACAAAAGTATTATTTGTTATCATTATTTTCATATAATGATGCATTCAAGTATAGCAGCTTTTCACATATTAATAATACCTATTTGATGGTATAAAGATTTATATCAAGAAAATGTAATATCAGAAAGAAACAATCTAATATCATTTGATTATGAGAAAAGCATTTTTGACTTAGATCTAAGTAATGGCACAATTTTTTCAGCATAAAAACCAGTTATGATGCCAGTCACTGCTTCAGTCACAAACAATACTATTGACAAAAAAATTGTTATGAACATATTTGGGGACTTGCATAAGAAGCTACTTTGCTTGCTATAAAAAGTAATAATGGCAAAATAATCCAATTCCTAATAAGCTATATCTATAAAAAGAAAAAAAAAAGTGACTGATCTGTAAATCAACAAACCATTACAACTAATCAAAAACAAGACAGCATGACTAATCAAAAACAGAATAACATAACCAATCAATCTTCATCTGAGAATATAATTGAACAAAATATTGATCAAGACACTGAAATGCTGTCAGAAAATAAAGAATCAGTCTTTCCTGTTTCTGAATCTGTATTAAACTTCACTGATATTTGAAATCTATCTAAAGTTGTTGGTAAAGGAAGGCTGTAAAAGTGCAGATATATTAGTAGTATTGAAAAAGAAAAAAAGCATAAAGGAAATTCAACCTGAGAAACATATAAATGTCATATATATGGTAAAACTAGTCATAATTTAGCATTTCATAAGAATAAGGTGAAAGATAATCGAACTGGGTATGATTAGCTTGAATATTTCTTGACATGCTTTCTACAAGTATAGTAGGTATATAGAAAAAGTGCATCATATAATCTTATTAAAGTTAGCTGTAATAAAATTAATGCACTTGATATATGTATATACATTAGATTTTTTCACATGTTTTGTATAGCCAATTAATGAAGGAAAAACCTCCAGACACCTACCAGTTTATGTGATTTTATTTTAGAGTAGGTATATTGGCACATGAAAGATTTTAGGGTAAATACAAAAATTACCTAAATTGGTAGAGCTAGTAGGTGTTTGGTAACTTTTCAATTAATAAGAAATCTACAAATTGCATAATTAGTTAGTATGACCAATTAAATAACTTATTATAATATGTGATATATAGTGGTATCATACCCAAAAGTAATATATAATATTATCACAGGGGGTGTGATGCCTAGTTAACTTCTTTTGATAAAAATTTTTATTGAAAATCCCAAAATTAAACATCTTCTCTTTAAAATTTATTAAGTATAAAATAAAATATGTCACTCTAATGTAATTTTATGTATAGAACAAATTTACTTAAAGCATTAAGTTAGAATACATTAATAAATTTCTGAGAATTATAGTATTCTTTATAATTTTATTAATAAAATCAAAAGAATATTACAATTTTTAAAATTTTACTAATGAATTCTAACTTAGTATTCTAAAGTTATTTTGTTATATATATAAAAATATATTGAACTGAATATGTTCATAAACTTTGAACTGAACATTGAACTGAACTTTTGTTATATTCAAGTTCAGTTCAGTTCAGTTTAAATATAGTTCAAGTTTAGTTTAAGTTCAAAATTAGAGAGTACAGTTCAGTTCAGTTCAAGTTTAATTAAACTGAACTAAACTTATTTGAACTAAACTAAACTTTAGGAACCCTAATTGTTCTGTTGAATTGTTTAGCAAATCTGCATAATTTGGCTCTTTAAGTATCTGTTTCTTTATAAATGCTTTGATTAATCTTTTTATAATTACTTTGGTAACCACTTTTCTAAAAGTCTCAATTAATGCAATTGGTTTTATATTATTAAGGCTATAGCTCTATTTAATGTCTTTTGAAATTAGATATATTTGTGCTATCTTTTATTTGCTTAGTATTTTATCTTTTTTTAATATAAGGTCTGCAAACATTCTGAAGATTTTTTGTATTTTTTTATTTGCATATTTGATTAATATGTAGCTTATATCAGATATTCCTAAAGCTGTACCTGTTTTGAGTTTTTTCAATATTTTATTTTATTCTTTCTTATTTACTTTTTTTTTTACTTTATTGTATTATAAGTCATTAATCTAACTTCTTGATTCATATATTTTTTTTATTCTTCTAACATTTCTTCTAATTTGATTTTTTTTTTCTAAACTAGATTTTATAGTGTTTTTCTCTAGATCTGCTTTAACTGCATTTGGCTCTATTATTAGTTCTTCTTTTTCTTTCTTTTGTATTATGAATCTGTTAAAAACTATCTTTTTGTATAACCTATTGAGCAGGCTTACAATTATCCTACTTTGATCTGTTTTGATTATTTTGACTCTTTTGTCTATATTTTCTTGAATCTGCTTTCTTTGCAACTGCTTTTATTCTTTTTTTTTTTTTCTTTAAGTATTCTTTGTCAACCTTTAATATCTTCTATTCAAGCTTCTAACTACTGTCTGTGCAGTTCTAGTAATACTACTTTTATTTTCTTCTTATTGTTTTGAGTTTTCTGTTTATTTTTTCTGTTTATTTTTTTTTTGTTTTTTGATTCTTCTTTATTTTTGCCTTTTTGATTATTTATTACAGTTCTACAATGTACTTATGCTACTATTGTTTTCTTTGACTTTGCCTTCTGTTTATCTTTGTATTAAAAACCTTCTTTTTTAAAATATATTTGTTTGCTGCTTTAAGTATAGTATATTCTATGACTTCCCATATATTACTTATTGTATTTGTATTGTAATTAATATTAAAATTATCTTTTAACAGTTGTTTTATTGCTTTCTTCTATTTTAGCTATCTCTGTAGTTCTGTTGCATACTCTTTTTAATCTTTTTGCTTCATTTTATTATATAAATATACTGTTCTTATTTGATTTTTATGTTTAACTTCTGTTTTGCTATTATTTGGTACTGTGTATTCTAGCCATATTTTTGTAGTTATTATCTGGTGGTTACTATCTGTTAGTCCTTCTGTCTTTTCTATTTTTGCTTTCTGCAAATCTGATGCAAATACTTCTAATATCTATATATAGTCTATTCTTGTTGCAGTGTCATTGTTTAATCATGTATATGCTTTCTTTATTGAATGAAGGCTTCTGTACATATCTGCAAACTCTTGTTTTTTTGAGTTAGCTAAATATTGATAGCTTTTTGTAACTTGTTGTTTGTGAATGTTGTCTATCTAATATATTGTTTATTGTGTAATTAAAATCTCCAAGTATAATTATTTATATATGCTTTTTCTTTTTGAAATTAATTTTACTACTTTTTGCTATATGCTTCTGCTAATCAATTTATTATTTGGTAATATATATATTCTTATTACAATTAGTTCTAATTGTTTGAAATATATTTATACTTCTATTATATATTTACTGTTTCTTTTTATAGCTTTCACATACTTTTTTTATTTCTCATCTATTAGTATTACTATACCTGATTCTTTTTTCTTGTCTTGTACTGCATTAGTTCAAAACTCTTTATTCTGTATATTTAGACTGTATAATAAAAACTTTTTTTTCTTTCTGTTATATTCATCTTCACTATATTTAGAATTGTTATTTCTTTTTTTTTTATCTACTTAGTCAGATTTTTTAACTTCTATCTCTTAGCTTTCAGTTCATTAATATTATAACATGCTATTTTAAGTTCTTTGCTAACTTTTTGTCTTCACTTTTCTTTGAGTTAATTATTTTTTAATACTATTATATTATCTTCTTTTTTTTTTATCTTTTCTGCTTTTAATTTTTAATGGATAAGAAGGCTGTTTTATTTGTTTTTCTTAAATGCTTCTCTTTTATTTTGTAGGAATTCTATAATCTTTTTATCCATATTTATGTTTTCAACTGCAGCTACTTTTAGGAGCATTAGGCAGGCTGAGTCTGTTCTTCACTTATCATCTCTAACTTTTTTAATATATCTTGAAGAATCTTTTGATAAAGTTTAATTTTTTCTCAAATCTCTTTTGCCTTTTTGCTATTTTCTTTGTTGCTTTTTTTATACTTTTCTTTGATGTTTTCTTTTTGTTTTAGTTTCTTGCTTATTGCTTTGTCTTCTTTAAATTTTAACTTTTTTTTTTCTTGTTTTTGTACATTATATTTGTATTTGCTTATTTTTTTAGAATTTGTGTGTTTTGTGGCTGTTTTTTCTCTTAACTTCCAATATAGTGTATAGATGTAATATTTTATTGATTTGTTTATAGCTCTCTTTAAATCTATGTTATTTGTAAAAATGTTTGTTGCTGTATTTTTTAGGTTTTTATTTCTGTTTGAAGGAATATAAACTGCTTTTGCTTTCTTGCTTCTTAGACATTTTAGTAGCAAAACCTCAGAGGCTTTTCTTGCTAAATCTATTAGTTTAGCAGTATGTTGTTCTTGGTTCTCTTTCTGTATATAGTCTTCATACCTTCACATTATCTGTACTAAATTGTTATTACTAAATAGCAATGACTATAAAGCTCTTTCTTTTTCTAAAAATATAGACTGTATTATTACTAATGCCTTAAATTTTGTTCTTTTGATTTTAACCATTTGCATATCTTATATATTCTTGCAAATAAATTTAACTTCTTCTTCTTCTTTTATATTTGCTAGAAGGTCTCAAATTGTTAGAAATTTGTCTGTTTTTTTTTTTTTTGTTTCTTTTTCATTACCCTTTTTATTATGTATTTTTGTTGTAATGTTTTTCTTTTTTTTTTAGTTTCTATATAATGCTCTTGTTTTTATATATTGTTTTGTTCTTGTTTTTTCTTCTTTTATTGCTTCTGCTATAGCTATATCTTTTTCATAGAGTTCTTTTATTGTCACTTTTCTGCTGCTATTTAAGTCAAAGTCTAACTTTATTTATTTGTTTTTTCTTGTTACTTTTTCTTTAACTAACTTTATATATTTGTTTTCTTTTAACAACCTTTTTATGTGTTGCAATCTTTCTTGAATTGTGTTTTCTTCTAAATTGCTAATTAGTATTTTAGCTTTGTATAAGCTGTTGCTATATTTTCTATTTGCTAAGGCCTATATACTATGTCTTAAAAAGATTTTTAGTTCTTTTTTATATTGTAATTGTTCTTCTGTTTTCTTAGTTTGTGACTTTTTTATTGCTTGTCTTTCTGTTTTATTATATTTTTTTTTTCTTTTTTGTTTTTTTTTTTTTTCTTCTAGATGTTGTCTTCTTCATTTTTGTTACTTGGCATGATTTCTATTTCTTGCATCTTGTCTTCTTTTTTAATATTTTTTTCTGATTTCATATTTAAAAGAAATTTAACTAATTTTGAATTTAAGCTCATATTTCTAATTTTCTTAGTACATTTTTCTATATTTTTGCTTTGTAAATCTATGCTATTTACTTTTCTAAATACTGTTATTATTTGGCCATATAGAAGCAGATCATATACTGTAATTCTATTTACATCTTTTACTATTATATTATCTAGGCTTGCTAGTTTTGTTATATCTAAAACTTTAATAATTTTTTTGTTATCTGTATATCTTATTATATTTGCCTCATAATTGCTAACATATCTAAGTAAGCTCTATATTTGTATAGCTTTTATATGCTCCAGATCTTGTTATAGA